TAAATCTCCTAAAATCTTATTACTGAACAATATTAAAACTACTTACAATTTCTACAGCAACCACATATTTGTAGACCATATTTCCAGTGAACTTAACTGACAAAACTTGAAATGGGTTATCAATTGCCACTACCAACCCTACAAACTAAATCTTTTAAACTCCTGGACACTCTTTCTTAATCTTAGTCTAGCCAATGGTTAAATAATATGATTTAGTTTTTTTGTTAATTTCAATTTAAACTAACTACCAACGGTACAATTGTAAAGAAATTTAGTATAGTACCAATAATAGTTGTTTTCTTAAAAAAGAATATGTAATTTATGTGGATCTACATATCTGTTATTTATGAAGTTGTATGTATTTGAATTTTTTCTTTATTTTTGCGGGTTTGATTTTTTTAATGTAAAATGGATTCAAATGTAACATACAGGACATAATCAGACATGATGCCTAATTGAAAAAAAACATGATTTTGTAGATTGTCTATTTTTTTTATTACAAATAAATCGTAATGCTTTCTTATGCTGTTTCAGAATTTTTTAGGTTTTTATTGTTAGTTCTGCCATATATAGCAATACCGTACGCCATATTATGCGAGTTGATCAGAGAAAAATAGATTGATTTTAGAATGTCAATATTCCATACATGAGACATTTGTCTTAAAGAGTATATACCAATTGTCATTTTATTTACTATATGATGAACATGCTTATCCCACCTAAAATTCTCGTCCAGTATGAATCCAAGGGATTTTGTATGGTTTTTTAATTTTTTTTTCATCCATCCAGCTGATCGTTTGTTTGAAATTTTAATTCAGCCTGTTTTGTATTTAATGATAGAACATTTGTTTGGTTTTAAATTAATTAAAAAAACATTTTTACTGTTTTTAAACTCACTGACTGATACAAGATTTAAAAATGTTTTGATTAAATTACCATGTATAATAATAATTATTATAATATATTGTATAGAGTAATAAAACTCACACAGGCTTGAGCAGAACTAATCCCTGGTAGTTTAGAGAAAGGTTTTAATACAATTCAAACTCTTTATTACAATTCATTTCGTTAGTTATTTGAATCTTAAACAGTATAATTTGTTATACAACCTTATAATAGACATAACACGTTATTGTGGAGAAGGTAATTGAGGTTGGTAGATCGTTGTCCGTCTCAAGATGACAGATTTGACGTCAAGTTAGATCTTGCCTTAACTGTAATGGACATTCTACCTACACAACTGACATTGAGCAGATGCCTGATAAATTTTAGTAGCTGTCTGTTATATTCTGTTGGATGAAGTTGAATAAACTGAGTTGATGGTTTAGTGAAAATATTTCAAATTTACCATCTGGAATTTCGTTCAAATCCGTTGTTTGCAGGTAAATATCATATTAATTGGCAAATAAAATTTGAAAGCAGCAATCAACAACGCACTATTAATCATGGTTTAATTTCGAAGTATTAACCTCCTTATTTTGGTAATAAGCGAATCTTTTTGCACGACCTCTTGAAACAAGAAAACCTAAATTAGTTATCTCCGATATTAAATAATAAGTCTGCATATTTTGTAATTTACTATTGTTCTTCGCGTATTTTTTTTCAATCCATCATCAAAATTATTTTGATAAGATCCGCTTTCTGCTAAATCTTTAAACTAGTAGTTTTACTGTCAAATTAGATTAAATTTAGAGTTCATTTTAACCTTGAATATAAAGAGAAGATTAGGTTGATAATAATGATGCGTTTCCTTAGCTGACGGATATATTTAGCTACAGATATGGTGATTTACATGCTTCCTTTCAGGAGCTTTTGAGTAAATCAAAACATCCTCAACACAGTTAATCAACAATCTTCAGTAATGTATTTTGAAAATTAGTGTCATATTACAAAACCTGTACCTATAAAAGAACAGTAAATAGGTGAAGTGCTTGTTTCCGGTTGTTAATACATAGATAGTAAAACAAGCTGTAGAAAGTTGAAGATTTATAGTTTAGATGTTCAAAAATCTTTCCCTTCTACTTAATATGTATGAAGAACAAAGTTGTAAGTTCTTTTCTTGTATTTAAAACAGTACTCTAACTTTGGCGCAATCTCTTTCATGCATTAACTGCAACTGGTCAGTAAGTTTCAAACGAAAATGTTATATTTAGATTAATGATTTTTTTAGATGAAACCGAAACACCTCTCGTTATCTAGCCACAATGAGAAAATTAATTTCAATTAATGGAAGTGTCCAAACAATCAGTTTTTATCAAGCAAATTGATTTTTAAATTGACACTTTTATCAGTCAACTGTTCCACTCAACACTACTATAAATAGGTAGAAATCAAAAAGATTAGCTATGTTGTTTTTGTTGGACAACTAAGGTAAGTTGTTACATAGTCTTATCGTTATCTGTTTGTTACAAAGTAGGCTTTTGGTGGAATTTCCTATACTTAAAATAGTAGTATGATTGTTAGGATATTAAAATAATTGCCCTTGTAATGAAACCTTTTTAACACAATGCACTGAGCAAATGTTTTCGTAAATTTTAAATTTTGAAAATCGAAAAAAGATTCCCAAATTCGTAAAAGCCGCTACGTATTGACTTAACTAATCTGGAATAAGAGTGGACCTATGGTCTACATCAGGTCAGAATAAATAAATAAATTGATGAGTAGTCATTAGTGTTACATTATTTATCGTTTTTCGTGGAATCGTATTTATGTTTGCATAGTTTTTTTTTTATACATCTAACTTTTGCATGGAAAAATCAAACAATGCAACAGTCATGTATACCAGTCAATTGTGATTGAAGATTATTTCAAAGAGGAAATTTTAGAATATTATCCAATTTAAGGTAACGCTAAAATCGTGCAGCTAAAATAATTATAATTTTGCTTAAATGATTTGTTTTATTTAGATATAATTATTCTATAATTTTTGTCATCATACAAGGTTATTTTGGTTATTTTTTATCATTGAAGAACAATATAGATATAAGATATAAATCATGTTTAGTGGATTTTCCACGTAGGGAATCAACTATCACCGTAGGTCTCATGGTAAGACCTGACTTAAGGACTGAATTTTTTTTAGGATCTTAAAGTCTAAAACACCAGTCTTTTAAATGCTATATAGATTTTTATGAAATTTGGTATATAAATGTAGGGTAAACCAATATTTATTCGAACGAGTTTGGAAACCAGGATGATCAGACTATGGGGACAGGGTCTTATGGGGAGTTTTATAAATATTAGTTTTATCATTTTTTTCCCTTAAAAAATTGCTTTAGCCATTTTGTAGAACTTAAAAAACAAATAATTTAGCATATTGAAGTGTTGTTATGCATCTAATTGTGAAGCAGAAAATTCCAAAAATTTTTAAAACTAAAATCCTCATGTTATTTTTAGGGACAGTAAGTAAAATTGTTGTTTGTTTGTTTCAAGCATATTGAGATCAAATTTGGAAAATTTATTTATTTCATTTTTAAATTTTAACATTTCACTAAGGAAGATTTTACTACCTTCCCTGTAGCAGCAAACCAATGCACCCGTTATACTAATAATATTTAAATAAATTAATATGACATTTAAAGATGGTGTTTTAGGAAAAATCTAGTAAGGCAAATGGAAATTCGCTTACCCCGCAAGTTTGCCACGGCGGAGGTATTTTTGGTAATGCAACAAATATGTCATTACGCATTGATTTTTGAATACTAAAAAAGACACACACATCTATATGGACAGGCCGTTGCAAATTTTTGTTAATAAAAGAACATAGTTTTATGAAACTGTGAGCCAGTTACAGATTGTGCTAGTTGCCAAAACTCGTTTTCCTACCTTAATATTTACTAATGGTATAGATGACAAGACAAAAATGTGCTATAACCTTTATTAAGTCATCCTTTAAGCTTGACTTAGTTAACAAGTTTGCATATTCAGCAGAGATAAATAATTCGCATCAGTGCAATCTGTCAGTGACTTACATAAACTATGTCCATTTTAGCGAATGTCCCTATAGGGAAGTAGCTTACCGTAGGTGGCATGGTAAGACCTAGGCCCGGGACCGATTTAATTTTTCATTTTGATATCTCCAGAGCTAAAAACACCATTCGTTCAAATTTATATATATATATATATATATAGTGTATATTTATATATATGTCCGTGAACGTGATAACTTAAATAATTTTAGTCCGATTTTGAAAAAAATTGGTTTAAAGGTGTAAGGCGGGATAAAATTTAATGAGTTCGCGAACCAGCATAATCGGATATGGGAACGGGGTTTTACGGGGGGTTTTATGGGGTAAAAATTGGGTTTTTTTTCATTTTTGGCCCTCAAACACAACATTTTCCGATTTCTCTCTAGCCCTTTTTAAAGAGTAAAAAAAAAAAAAATATGATTTAGTATATCAAAGTGTTTTTGTACATTATTGGTAACAGAGAAAATAAAAAAAGGAAATTTAAAATTCGCATGTTATTCTTATGGAGAAGATTGTAAAATGTAGTTTGTTTGTTATGGATATATTTTGATCAAACTTGGCAAATTTTTTATTTTAAACCAAGCTCTTAAATTTTACAAAAAAACACACTTTATTATTTTCCTTGTAGCAGCAAGCCTATGTACTCACTAAAACTTATGATATTTAAATACCCTAGATTTAATTGAAAATCAATTCAGACAAATGGAAATTCGCTTAGTCGGCAGGTTTGCTGCGGCGTGGGTATTTATTAAAAAAATTCTAACAACTTTAACAAAGGGATGATTGTAATGTCTAGTCCTATTATTGGTCAAAGTATGAGGTAATTGGGAACGTAAACGATAGAAATGTAAACTTCATCTGATAGATGTGTAAATTATGAATCAGTTTAAAAATACTTTTTTTACAATGCTGCTGGTATCATTCAGGTTTATCCAGGCTAAACAAATTATTTCCCAAAATTAGATAATGACTCATGAGTGCTTTCATACAGTATAACATTTGTTGATTATTCCAATGTTACTTTCCAGCCAAGATGAAGCTGTTACTGTTGTTCGCCCTTGTAGCTTTGGGCTACTCCCATCACATCCCCTTCCCCGAAGAGGACGAAGCCCAATGGGAGCTCTTCAAGTTAAGACATCTTCATATTTCTTGACCAAAAGAAGTTGTTCGGCTTTAAAACATTTTTACGGCCTTCAGAACAAAATCTAATATAGTATTTACCCGTTAAGGTGATTTTCTGATGGTAATACATGGTCCCAAAATGACTAACCTTAACATCAATTATCTTAACATAAAATAGATTTTATTGTTTTATTAGTGATCATATGTCAGAACCAAAATATTTGCGAAATTTTTTTAGGTAAATTATGAATGGAATCTTATTCAAAGTTAATCTATACGTACCGCTTTAAGCTATTTCAACTATCACCTAATAAATATATCCAGTTTAATAAGATGATTAACAAGCTTGATCGAAAGTTAAATAACACCTTTAATATATATATATATATATCTTTAACAAACCAACAAAACCTCGTTTGGTAAAAATCACCTGGTTTATGTTACAACTAAGTACTAAATGTAGTATTACAATGATACACCCTTCTAAATTAATTTTTCTCTGAACAGTTGCACCCAGTTTTACGTTTAATACGTCAATTGGCATTATAACTTAAATATACCTATTTTGAAACCTAATTCATAATATGATTCCAATAATGAAAACTTTAATATCTTTTACTTTCAATGACATTTTATGGCAACATTTACCTTTCAATAAATCAATGTAAGAATATTTATAAATCGGTAACATTGATAATGTTCCATTTCAGATCGAACATGAGCGAATGTACGGAGATGACAAGGAGGAGTACACTAGAAAGGAAATCTTCATGAGCAACCTCAACTTCATCCGTGAACACAACAAGAAATACGAAAAAGGAGAAGTTACCTTCACCGTAGGAGTCAACCAGTTCGCTGACATGGTGAGATGTAAAAATATCTTAAGGTTAAATTATCAACGCCCATTATTTGTTATACCATAATACAAACAATTTAAAGTACTATTTAACTCTACTGTTGTATCTATAAACATGTAATATTTGTAAATGGTGTATCTTGCATTGAATAAAAAAATAGGGAACTTCACGTACTTTTCTCAAACATTGATTTAAGATTTTTTTAGATTTTACCATGTTTAAACATGAAATGGGTTGTAACATTTCTAATTCAACAATGATTTTTGAATGGAACCAAATACACACACACCCCAATCACTGTAAATTCACTTTTTTTGGAGGGTTGAGGGGGACGTAAGATAGATATTTCTACCCAAAACCTCAAACTCGAAAATCTTAACGTAAACAATACTTTCTCCAGGCCTACTATGTTAGAGTGTTGGAGAGTGGAAAGAAAAAAAAATATTCGGGGCTGTAAAACCTCTAAGGGATTCTCATTCAAAGATTTTCCATAGAAAATCACATCAGCTAGGCCATAATTGACTTCACTATTCAAAATCCAATGGCGTTTTATACATGACTAAATTGCTTTTAGACCAATGAGGAGTTCCGCCAGAGGATGAATGGATTCAGACTGCCCAAGGACTACCAGAGTAGTGGAGCTAAGTTCGAGATCGACGAGTACCTGGAAACTCCCAAGACTGTTGACTGGAGGAAGAAGGGAGCCGTAACCCCAATCAAGGACCAAGGACAGTGTGGATCTTGCTGGGCCTTCAGTGCGGTAAGTGGTCTAACCTGGGGGGCTCTAGAATTATATTCATGTAATAAAGATGATTCATGAAAGAAGTAATACATTCTACCTATTTCAGACTGGTAGTTTGGAAGGACTCAGCTACCTGAAGACCAAGAAGCTGGTGTCTTTGAGTGAGCAGAACCTGGTTGACTGCAGCAGCAAACAAGGTAACGCAGGATGTGAAGGAGGTTGGATGGATAATGCGTTCAAGTACGTCAAGGAAAACAATGGAATTGATACCGAGGCCTCCTATCCCTACGAGAATGAGGTAAAATGATGTAAGAGTCAGATGTTTGGTGGGTGCAGTAATAGTTAATGGTCGACAAGATAGTATTTATGTCCTGTTTTCACTCCAAGGACGCAAGTGTTTAGCTAGAGACCGTTTTATAATTACATTTAGGCTAGTCATAGTTCTTGGCACTATACCATTGCGAAATGTCATTGTTAGTTCGAAGGACTTAAACCTGAAACTCCGGAAACAGACGTCTATAGCTCTACCACTGGACCAGCTCACCCTTTGTCTCTAGTTTCTGGGTGAATTTTTCTTGCCTTAAGACTCGTTTTAAATAATAATACATGATTTTTTAGAATATAAATTTTTCAAACCATACCGAGACTAGTTCGATTTATTTAGATTAGGCTTATATTGTATCCCTTTGGACCAAAGTTTTTTTTTTCTGCACAAGATCTAGATAAACATTAAATGATGCTGAAAAACAACTCTTGTCTCATGCGTTAAACAATATTTTAAGCAATTTTACACCATTTTTATCCTTACTATTTCAACAATTTCCTACATTGGTCAACCTTATTGTTGGCTCCTGATTCGAAACAACATACTTGCAGGACTTTGGTCATTAGTAATAGTATTCTAACTTTTAATTTACAGGACGACATATGCAGATACAAGGCCAAGAACAAGGGAGCCACTTGCTCTGGCTACGTGGATGTGACTACAGGAAGTGAGATTGCTTTGCAGCAGGCCGTGGCCAGGATTGGACCAGTCTCTGTGGCCATCGACGCCGCACACAGCTCCTTCCAGCTGTACAAGAGCGGTAATGTCAATCATAACTACACACATCAATTATTCCTTTTAATTCGTACAACGTGTGTTATTGGGCGGAACAAAGCGCAGCTCTTAAACTACACTCCTGTTTTCTTTTACAAATACTTTCCTGAACGGCTGGAGCGATCTGCACGAAATTTAGCACAATCATAGTAAACCAGCCATGGGAATGTATAAATCTGAAAAAAGTACAAATCGGACTACAGGGCTTTTCCCTGCGTGAATTTAAGCTGTTTGAAATTTAACATGGGCCTTACGGGTTGCCATGAAATTAATTGCGAGATAACAATAAAAACGTAAACAAAAGTCACAACATATGTTAGTCAACGAATCATCTAAATAGCACATTACAAATACCTTAAAAAGAAAAAGACAATAACAATCGGATTAATATTATTATGAGCATAGTTTACTACAAAATGAATAACCAAATATTATGGACGCCGGGATAAGGCTGATGCATTATTGACTTTATATAATCCAAATAGCCCTTCCATTTACGTGAACCAAATATAGGCCAAATATCGAGTTTAGATACTACAAATAGACTTTCTATTTATGCGAACTAAACTTACCATTCAATACTGCAGACTTTGGTATTGCAATTAGGAATTCAATTAATGTTAATCAAAGATACCGAGTTTGGATACTGATACTGAGTTATAAGATACTGAGTTTGGATACTGCAAGTAGACATTCCAGTGACGTGAACCAGACGTACCATTGACTTTGGATACTGCAAATAGACACTCCATTTATGTGAATCAACTAAATGATTGAATTGGATCCTGCAAGTATATATCTCGTTTACGAGAAACATATGAACATTGACTTTAGAAAAGTATTGGATTAATATACTAGCTCCTGCAAGTAGACAATTAACTTTCGTGAACAAAATGAAGAATTGAGTTTGTGTACTGCAAGTAAACAATTCATTTACGTTAATTAAATGTGCCATTGAGTTTGGATACTACAAATAGATGGTCCATTTAAGTGAACCAGAAGTAAGCCTCCCATTGACTTTGGATACTGCAAATATGCATCTTATTTATGTTAACTAAATGAACCAGGACCATTGAATTTGGATACTGCAAGTAGATTTCTCTTTTTTGTGAAGCAGGTGTACTATTGATTTTTCCTACAGTTTCCTAACAATGTAAATGTTCTCTCGCTGATTTGAGAAAGCAAAGTGGCTAATTCGCTCATCAGTGAGACAATGTTAACATTGTCCCCCCCCAACAAAGGAGTCAACAAAGGAGGAGGACAATGTTAACATTGTCTCACTCTAATTACTTTGTCTCACTCCAGATTTGCAACGTGAAGAAACGAAATAGTAAGCGCGTAACATGCAGGCAACGTCGTATCCGTGCGAAATACGTTGGCAGCACTGGCTGTAAATCAGCTGGTCAGCTGTTGTACTGTTGTATTTGTCACTTCACATTAAACGTTATATTAAAAGTTCACTTCTGTGTAAAAATAGGTTATGTTTCTTCACAAATTTATTTGTTTTATGGTAACTGGAGGAAAGTATAATGTGCAACTCGAGTTCAAAGTACAATTGCCTCACTCGAGAAACCATTCCTCACTCGCCTACGGCTCGTGAGTAAGGATTTCTCTCGAGTGAGTCAATTGCTCACTTTTCTCGCTAGTTGCACAAATAACTATAGGATACTTCAAGTAGACAATTTATTTATGTAAACCAAATGAACTATTAAGTTTGGATTCTGCAAGTAAACAATTCGTTTACGTAAACCAGACGTACCATTGACTTTGGATAATGCAAATAGGCATTTTATTTATGAGAACCAAATGTATCATTGACATTGGAAACTGCAAGTATTTAATCTCATTTACGAGAAACAGATGTAACAAGGACTGCATAAAAGTATTGGATTAATATGCTAGCTCCTCTTAATATTGTAAGCAGACAACTCCTTTGTACACTTAGTGTAGTTCTTAAGCCATGAGTTTCTTGCTCAGTGCTTTGCCAAAATATAGCAGCGAGAATCATGCTAACACATGCTATTATTAAATAGATTACGATTAACGTAAAGTAAAGGAATTTTTAATGCTGAATCCAAAGCTTTAATTCATACAATTTCTGCCCAACTTGTGTTGTACATTCCACCCAATCGTTCGAGGAAAAATGCGGACAGCGATCAACCCTCTGATGCAATCTGGTCGAGCTTCTGAGGGTGTATACGTTAGGAGTCACTTTTATATTGCTTGGAGGTATGTAAGTTAGCTGAAGACGATTTTTTTTAAGGGAGAGGAGGGAAAATGCTTTTACGCACACAGGTAGCCAGCCTGTAGTGTGAGACTCCTGAATCTATCACAGACTACTCACTTAAAAAAACCCTCTACTCTGTTGGGCACAGACTTGGAATTGTTTGTCACGTTACTTCAAGTCAGGCCAACATGTGACCTAAGCCCTCAGGGCTCTCACCATTTTTGGCGTTTAGATACTTTATGACCTACACCGCTCCCGGTCAAGGTCGATCTTCTTGGCGCGGAGAATACCCTGGATGTAATGTGAGACACAGGTCCAATTGTCCTCACCCTCCGTCATCATCGGTATGACCGTGTCCACTGACAGCAGTCCTACTAACTGTTGAGCCTCCAGGCGGGGCCTTTCCCAACGCTGGCAGTGGAAAAAGGTATGTTCTACGTCATCGGGAATGCCTGGGCAGTATATGCAATCGGGTGACACGGCTTTGCCCATCCTGAACAGGTACGACCGGAAAAAGCCGTGACCCGTCAGAAATTGGGTGAGGTAGAAGTCCACCTCTCCGCACCGCCGATTAACCCAAGGTTGGACTTGCTGTATCAGTCGCCTGGTCCAGCGTCCCCAAGTCTCCTGTTCCCAGCTCTCCTGCCACAGCTGGTAGGTGCGGGTGCGTTCCTCTGTTCGTGCCTGGTCCTCATCCCCACGGCACTGATAAATTGCCTTTCTCTCCGCCGCCAAAAGTTTGACGGGGATGACTCCAGCAACCACCAGGACGGCGGGTTCGGACACTGTTCGGTAGGCGGATGCAACTCTTAGTGCTGCCTGACGCAGCACTCGTGCGAGCCGCATCCTATATACTTCCTTATTGAGAGCGTCTGCCCGCACCTCAGCACCGTACAAGAGTACGGACTGGACAGAAGACATTAACAGCCTTCTACGGAATAGAGATAATTCTCTATGATACGCGTGAGGTACGCCGGAACGTGGAAGGTGTTCTCCAGAGCTGAAGACGATAGTACCTAGCTATTTGCTAACTTCTAGTTGTAGCTAGTTGTGATAACTTCTAGTTGTAGTGCACAGTTGAATGTGTGATGTGTGGTGTTGTGGTTCCAGGAGTGTACAAGGAGCCTGCCTGCTCCACCACGAACCTGGACCACGGAGTGTTGGCTATCGGATACGGCACTGCCAAGAAGGGAGGAGACTACTGGTTGGTGAAGAACTCCTGGGGAACCTCCTGGGGAATGAAGGGATACATCATGATGGCCAGGTACCACAACAACATGTGTGGTATTGCCTCCAAGGCCAGCTACCCCATAGTCTAGACCATAATCTCCATATTATGGGCAATGGCCAGCTCAACGTCTTCACTTTGTTATAGATTTAATCTGTTAGTAAATTGTATTGCCTGTTATGCTGAACTGCTGTTACTTTGGTTCGCCAATATAGTTAATATCTGATAACTCTATTAAAAAGACGAAATAAGAAATTTGTTGTAAAAATTGTTATAGTTTATTTTAGTGTGAATCGGAATGTTTATCCATTTTTAACATATTATTAAATGTTTATCATAAGTTTACAAGCTCTCTAAATAATTGAGAAAATATTTTCATAACTACCTATATTTCAAAGTAATACGTTATCTTTTCGATCGTAATGTAGGGCGTTATGAATAAAAAAAAAAGAATTATGTAGTTTGAAGAAGCTCTAAGAATTACCCTAGATCTACTCTGTGGTTCTAATTTAATGTTACCAACGAAAATTTGACACTTTCTTGTAAAAAAATATCTATTGGATCGCCACTATCGAAACACATGCAAGTTTATCGTACTTAGTTTTTTTTTATTCTCATATAACAATGTGTATTTTACATTTATTTACAATTTAACCATAATTACTAAATAGTATGAATGAAAAAAATACATTTGTTAGCATACAGAGTTAAGAAGATGCACTTTGATTCTCTGCCCTAAAATAGTTTTATGACTTTTTAACAATTAAAACTAAGATCATCGTTTCAGTCGCATAGGGAGCCAAAACTTTGTTTGTAGCTGAATTAATGGATGGATCTTAAATTTGAACTGAGATATGAACAAGTTTGTAGATTGTTCGCAGGGGAGATCATAGATATTAAATCAGGATCCAAACAATAGTGAGGTCTTAACATCGTTTTAACGTGAGTTTTTATTTGTCATTTCCTAATCCTTCATATTGTATGTCAATGTAATTTACGTGACTGTCTTAAATCATTTTATTCATCTATGTATATATATAATACGCTAAGCGAATTTTTGTGAACAGAACCCCTCCTTCATTTTTGGACCGATTTCGATGATTAAAGTGTCAAAAAATGGCCCTAATTTGAAGTTTTGCAAAGTTTTTTTTTTCATTTTTTAAGATTAACTCATAAGATTAACATGGGGGAATCTAAATATTTAATTGGAAAGTTTGTCTCCACCATTTTCTTCTAATTTTATAATTTATTTTCTTCTGTATCATGTCATGTTCTGCAAAACGTTACAAAATCAGTGGAAAATCCTTTTATCACAGTTCTTCTTAAAATTATTTCTTGTTGAACTATCTTATATCTGTTTTACAGGTTGGTGCCTGCCTTTTTCACCCCTTTTGCCTAAATTTTATCATATTACTCTAGACAGATCATCATAGGTTCATGAGATTGTTGTCATACATGTTTTCAATCGTTGCAAAAATCTTCGATTGTGTAATACAACAAAATAATACAAGTGCAGAAGAGCACGGTGCCCATATTTAAGCCGTGTCCATATTTTGTTAAATTAATAGTAGTTTACAGCAACAGAATAAAACATTTTACAATATTTATGTAGAAATACGTGCATGATTTAGAAAGTCATTAAGCTGGAAAGGTGCAATATACATTTCAGAGAGGTTACTTCGATGTATTCATTCAGCTTAGTGAAAACGTAATATAGATATGTATATAAACAAGAACTTGAACTCTTAGAGAGTCTTTGAATGTTATTAGACTAACGAAAATGGTTGTGCATGTTTACTAGCTCTACTCAGCAACAAAAACCATTTAATTTATCTCTAAAATATATATTCTTAAAGTGCACTGAGCAGCAGCCTAAAAAAATCTATGTAACTTACCCATATAATATAGTTACAAAATGCTCAAACTCGCATTGTGACATTTATTATTCGGCTTATATTTCTCCAACAGGTAATTCATCTGCAGAAGTTTATTGTGCTCTTCTTACCTTGTCTAATAACATCCAAACACAGAAACCATGCCTGAAATGGTACCTATCTTCACAAATTATTTGCAGTGGCTTATATTGTGGACCGTAGCATATGTAGCCCACGGGGTTGGTAACATTATTAAAAATAACACTACATTTTGGCTGTAAAAATGGCCCAGTTAGCAAATATAATCTAAGCAGATACTGTCATAACAGAAAGGCCATATTACTTTTAAACTAGACCACATCATCCTTTATAAGATATGTTGATTAAAAATGCAAGTAAACGTCAATATATACGTAACAGCCAATTTACAGTATTTTTTTCCTTTTTGGAAACGCCACATTGCTATGTCATTTGCATTATTTCTTGCCAATGAAGCCGCAAGACCTTAAAAACGAGGAGGCCCCTAACAGTTGAAGAATAAAAGCCAACTTCACTTCAAGTATATTCCACAACACCTAACATTCAACCGTAGAGAGATTATATTGACAACTTTATGTAATTGATAAGGCTGAGACAACTAAATGACATCCCCCATGTCAAGGGATTCCAGCTTTAACAGTAACCCCACAACCAATTTCTCAAAACTATGATAGAGGGTTATTCATTGGGACAGAAGTACGATATGAACTGACGCGACGTGACAAAGGAAAAATCAAACTTACACTGTAACGGATATACCTCCCTCTGAAGTTAGAACGTGTCTTCCCAACAAACAGATAGGCCTATTATTTAAAGAAAATCATAGATTAATCTGCATTACACTGATGAAATTACGGAAGTGTTTAACTACAAAAGATCCGCCAATACGGTTTTCATACTATTTAAGGATTCTTCCAAAGGAAGAGATACCAGATAGCCTACTATTAATAACTCTGATGACGGACGGTATGGGGAATATTTTATTCATTGAATTATCAACCATATTTGGTAACTAAGGCATTTAATATAATTATTGTTTTTACACTTATTAATCAATGCGAAATGATCAAAATATGTATAATTTCACTCAATTTGTCGCAGTTAGATGAATTAGCGTAAGCCTTGAAAGTAACCGTCGATTACGACGGGTTTCACCTAGTCTATAAGTATAAATGTCTAGAATGGTTTTGTTATGTTCTCCTTTGCAAGTACGATATTTTGATTTCAAAGACGGGAAAAAGTAATAATGAAGCAAAAAATGGAATCAGCTTGGTATGAAATATTGAAACAACCACTAAACCCGGTAAATCCGCTTTCCAGCTATAAACATTTTGCTTTAGGGGAAGTACACAGTACATTAAGTAGCTTGGTGTTTCGTTTGGAAACCACTCATAAAGTACGATAAATTACAGTAAGATATTTATGTTGCACGTGTTATTGAGCAGTTTACTTAACATATTATTTTCGTTACTAGCTAACTGCTATTTCATCATTATACAAATACAATTTTGCATAGGTTGAAACCAATCAAAGGACTTAAATTTATTGCTTTAAAAATTGTTACTTGGAATTGAACTTTACAATATTTGACAACATTAGTTTAACTTGAATTATAATTCAGGTAATTATTTTGAAAAAGAATAAACACTTTTTAATATAAATGCTCTTTTAGATTCATAGCAACTATTTACAGGGTGACAATATAATCTTAGGACTACATTATAACTTTAAAACGAAAAGAGAAATCAAAACCGAATTTACCATATCATTACTGTTAATGGTAAACAACTTTTAGCGAATTTCCCTATAGGGAAGTAGCTATTACCGTAGGTGGCACGGTAAGACCTAGACCCGGGACCGATATACTTTTTCATTTTGATGTCCCTAGAGGCCAAAAACACTATTTGTTCAAATATATATATATATATGTATATATATATATATATATATACGTCCGTGAACGCGATAACTTGAGTAATTTTTGTCCGATTTTGATGAAATTTGGTTTGAAGGTGTAAAGCGGGATAAACTTGAATGAGTTCGCGAACCAGCACGATCGGACCATGGGAACGGGGCTTTACGGGGGGTTTTATGAGGTAAAAATTGGTTTTTCTCACTTTTGACCCTCAAAACACAAAATTTCCCAATTTCTCTTTAGACCTTTTTAAAGAGCTTAAAAAACAAATAATTTAGTATATAAAAGTATTTTTGTTCGATTATTAGTAACGGAGAAAATTAAAAAAAAATTTAAATTTAAAATTCCCATGTTATTCTTATGGAGAATATTGTCAAATGTTGTAGTTTGCTTGTTTATGAATATATTTTGATCAAACTTGGCAAATTTATTTATTTTGTACTAAGCTATCAATATTTTACTCAAAAACACACTTTATTGGTTTCCTTGTAGCAGCAAACCTAGGTACTCGTTAAACCTAATGTTATTAAAATATATTTAACTGAAAATCAATTCAGACAAATGGAAATTCGCTTAGTCGGCAGGTTTGCTGCGGCGGGGGTATTTTGTGTACATGGTGATAGGATACCACCTATGGGGGACAGCGTTAGTTGAACATCTTACCAAGCATAAGTCGATATGTACATTAAGTTATTAATCTTATTAATCTCGTTAAACTAAAAACAATGACACACATCGGAATTCAAATGGATAATCGAAACAAAAATGGCTTACAACAGTACAGTAACAAGTAATGGTTTAAGTACCTTATACTGTCAGAGTGATCCCTAGTAGTCCGCAGGCTACTGCAGTTTCGTTCCCAAAGAGAACTTCATCAGGCTGGTAAGGGCCTGAATTTCCTGGGGAAATTTCGTTTCAAAGGAAGTCGTTAAAACTAAAATCCATCGATGCCATACATTTAAATACATCACAAACAAAGGGAAGAACACTATAATAATTAAATAAATATATATATATAAATACACAAATAAATATTACAAAAACCTAGTACCGGGACCAATGATACGCACGGAGGGCAGGTAAAGTCTAATTGACTTCGGTGCCTGAGCTATTTCGGTCTTAATGAGCCAATAGGATTGGTAAATGAAATAACTAGCAATACCTAGCTTGTCCTAAGTCCTCATGATAATCAATCTGAACATATAAACAGTTTACTTGAGGTTAGGGTTACAACCTGGACATCCCCGTTGTTAGATGTGAAAAGAAACGCTTTCAGCTTTCGTTTAAGACCCTGTAGATATTTTTCTTAATAAGAATATATGAGTAATGATGAATGATAATGATAATGTTAAATCATTTGAAAAGTCCAATTTATCTTTTTGCTAGAATATTAATAGAATTCTCGTAAATAAAAAGTTTAATAGCAGCATAAAGGATATGTTGTCACAATTTAAGAGAGAAAAACTTTATTTTCTTCCTCTCTCCTCCCACGGGAGGCATTTCCTCCTGAATTCATTCGCTTACTGAACTTCCACGTGAATTACTGTCCACCTACCTACAGCTGTCTTGTCTGTCAGGTAAAACCCATTTTCGTAGATGTTAGGTCAACTAAATACTAGTATTTTAAATAATCCAACAGTAAAATACAAGATTTTGAAATGTAGAAGCTTGGTCTATTTTGCAAGGTTGGTCCACATTCTTTGTTTGAGACGTGAGTTTCAAAGTTGATGGGTTGACTTTCAAGATGTATTTACAGTACAATGTTCTGCATATCCTTGTCCTGACCAATTACAAGCTGTGCTACATGTTTCACGGTAATCTGTGGTCAGTAGTTACATCACTAGTTACATGTTAACTACAACACCGCAATTACCTACCTTGTACCTTGTACAGTAATCTCGTGTTTACATATACACTGAATCATCAGTAGGTTATAAAACACGTCAAATAATGTTGAAAATAAAAACACTGTGGTATTTTTGTTACACAGTTAAACAAGTTACTAAAGAGTAGCTTATATTTGCCAAGATTATGATTGTAAAAATGTCATCTTCTCAATTAAAAACACGAAGACCTATTATAATATTGCCCTATGTT